AAAAAAAAAAAAAAAACCTACCTATTTTTGTTATACATGTTACTCACCTGTCCTGGGTGGTTTTTCTGTCCTTGCAAAACCAGGCATCAGGTTAGCTCGGAAACTGTGTGTTCTGTGAGAAACAAAGTAACTGCTAGCGAGTGTTTGGGATACAAGGAGCAGTGAAGTTCAAGACAGAATTTAATAAGTTTGATGATAAAGCTTGAGGTAACTGAAGGTTAGCTACCCTCTCTACAACGTAAAGGTTTCAGGTCCAGTTCTGTTTTATATACATTTATTAACTAGATATTTATTAGCAGGCAAACAAAAAACCATTCTTAAGATCCTGTCCAGTGGTGATGGCACAGAGCAGGGAGAGAATCCAGTGATAATAGACTGAGGAATTCCGGCACCAAAAAAGGGACAAAGTTATTGAGAAGGATACAGTCTCGCAAGTCTTATCTTCAGATAAGACAAGTTCCAGTTCCTGGAGCTGTGGCTAGATGCTATGACCTAGACTTGGACACACCAAAGAACACCACCTTGGGAAGAAGAGTTCTGGTTCTATAAACAAATTCATAATTAGGAATAAAATAATTACTATTTTAAAAAACACACAGTTTATGCATCCTATGCCACCTGACCAACCACCTCCTCACATAAAACGTTCACTCAAAGTAGATGCCAAGATTCCAGAGCAGGATTCTGTTAAACTTAAGGCCAAGATCAAGCAAACAACATGCATCAGAGTTCAGGCCTGGGCATCATTCATAATAGTAAAGCCCCACAGACCTCACTGGATCTCTCATGTCTATCATGCTGTTGTGGGTAGTGTCTCAAATATGTTCATCAATCTTTTTCATTTTTAATACATATGTATATTCTTTTTCATATTGTTTTCCATTATGGTTTATCATAGGATATTGAATATATTTCCCTGTGCTACACAGCATTACTTTGTTGTTTATCCATCCTACATACAGTAGTTTGCATCTGACTTTGTTATTTATCCATCCTACATATAATAGTTTGCATCTGCTAATTCCACTCCCGATCCTTCCCTCCCCCACCCCCCCTTGGCAACCACAAATCTGTTCTATACGTCTGTTTCTGTTTTCTAGATATGGTCACTTCTGTCATGTTTTAGATTCCACATATAAGTGATATCATATGGTATTTGTCTTTCTCTTTCTGACTTACTTTGCTTAGTATGATAATCTGTAGGTCCATCCATGTTGCTGCAAATGGCATTATTTCATTCTTTTTTGTGGCTGAGTAATAATCCATTGTGTCTATATACCACATCTTCTTTATCCATTCATCTGTCGATGGACATTTAGGTTGTTTCCATGTCTTGGCTATTGTAAATGAACATATGAGTGCATGTATCTTTTCAAATTATAGTTTTGTCTGGATATGTGCCCAGGGGTGGGATTGCTGGATCATATGGCAACTCTATTTTTAGTTTTTTGTGAAACCGCCATACTGTTTTCCATAGTGGCTGCAGCAGTTTACAGTCCCACACACAGTGTAGGAGGGTTCCCTTTTCTTCATACCCCCTCCAGCATTTTTTATTTGTAGACTTTTTTTTTTTTTGGCTGCGCTGCGTGGCTTGCAGGGTCTTAGTTCCCCAACCAGGGATCAAACCCGTGCCCCCTGCAGTGGAAGCACAGAGTCCTAACCACTGGACTGTCGGGGAATTCCCCATACATTGTCTTTTTGTTTATGGTTTCCCTTGTTGTGCAAAAGCTTATAAGTTTAATTAAGTCCCCTTTGTTTATTTTTGCTTTTATTTCTATTGCCTTGGGAGACTGACCTAAAAAAACATTGGTATAATTTATGTCAGAGAATGTTTTGCCTGTGTTCTCCTCTAGGAGCTTTATGGTGTCATATCCTAAATTTAAGTGTTTAAGCCATTTTGAGGGGTTTTTCTGTATATGCTGTGAGGGTGTGTTCTAACTTCATTGGTTTGCATGCAGCTGTCCAGCTTTCCCAATACCACTGGCTGAAGAGACTGTCTTTTCCCCATTGTATATTCTTGCCTCCTTTGTTGAAGATTAATTGATCATAGGTGTGTGGGTTTACTTCTGGGCTCTCTGTTCTGTTCCATTGATCCATATGTCTGTTTTTGTGCCAGTACCATGCTGTTTTGATTACTGTAGCTTTGTAGTATTGTCTGAAGTCTGGGAGGGTTATGCCTCCTGCTTTGTTCTTTTTCCTCAGGATTGCTTTGACAATTCTGGGTCTTTTATGTTTCCATATAAATTTTAGGATTATTTGTTCTAGTTCTGTGAAAAATTCATGGGTTATTTGATAGGGATCGTATTACGTCTATAGATGTAATATTTGCTTTGGGTACCATGTCATTTTAACCATATTAAATCTTCCAATCCAAGAGCATGGGATATCTTTCATTTCTTTGAATCATCTTCAGTTTCCTTTATGAATGTTTTGTAGTTCTCAGCATGTAAGTCTTTCGCCTCCTTGGTGAGGTTTATTCCTAAGATTTTTTTTTATGCAATTTTATTTTTTTTAATTAATTTTTATTGGAGTATAGTTGCTTTACAATGTTTTGTTAGTTTCTACTGTACAGCAAAGTGAATCAGCTATGCGTATACATATATCTCCTCTTTTTTGGATTTCCTTCCCATTTAGATCACAATAGAGCATTGAGTAGAGTTCCCTGAGCTATACAGTAGATTCTCATTAGTTATCTATTTTATACATAGTATCAGTAGTTTATATATGTCAATCCCAATCTCCCAGTTCATCCTACCCACCCCCCTTTCCCCTTTGGTATCCATACACTTGTTATGTACATCTGTGTCTCTATTTCTGCTTTGCAAATAAGATTATACCATTTTTCTAGATCCCACATACATACATTAATATACGATATTTGTTTTTCTCTTTCTGACTTACTTCACTCTGTATGACAGTCTCTAGGTCCATCCACGTCTCTACATAAGACCCACTTTCATTCCTTTTTATGGCTGAGTAATATACTATTGGATATATGTACCACATCTTCTTTATCCATTCCTCTGTTGATGGACATTTAGGTTACTTCCATGTCCTGGCTATTGTAAATAGTGCTGCAGTGAACATTGGGGTGCACGTGTCTTTTTGAATTATGGTTTTCTCTGGGTATATGCCCAGTAGTGGGGTTGTTGGGTCATATGGTAGTTATATTTTTAGTTTTTTAAGGAACCTCCATACTGTTCTCCATAGTGGCTGTACCAATTTACATTCCCACCAGCAGTGCAAGAGGGTTCCCTTTTCTCCACACCCTCTCCAGCATTTATTGTTTGTAGATTTTTTTTTTAAGTGAATGGTGGGGTTTTTTTGGTTTTTGTTTATTTTATTTTATTTTTGGCTGCATTGGGTCTTTGTTGCTGTGCATGGGCTTTCCCTAGTTGAGGTGAGCGGAGGCTACTCTTCGCTGCGGTGCGCGGGCTTCTCATTGCTGTGGCTTCTGTTGTTGCATAGCACGGCCTCTAGGTGCGTGGACTCAGTAGTTGTGGCTCACAGGCTCCAGAGCGCAGGCTCAGTAGCTGTGGCACACGGGCTTAGTTGCTCCGCGGCATGTGGGATCTTCCTGGACTAGGGCTCGAACCCTTGTTCCCTGCATTGGCAGGCAGATTCTTAACCACTGTGCCACCAGGGAAACCCTGTTTGTAGATATTTTGATGATGGCCATTCTGACCCATGTAAGGTGATACCGCATTGTAGTTTTGATTTGCAATTCTCTAATAATTAGTGATGTTGAGCATTGGTCATTGATGGAGATATGCCTAACAGAAGCCCTTATAGTAGCCACCTGTGGAGAATGAGCTTCCTGATTAAAACACCAGCTGGATACTCATGGACTGTGCATTCATTATCATATTAGCAGAGCACCCCAGACTGGCATTCTTTTTTTAAAAAAATATTTATTTATTTACTTGGCTGCGCTGGGTCTTAGTTTCGGCGCGCAGGATCTTCATTGCAGCATGTGGGACCTTTTTTAGTTGCAGCATGGGGAATCTAGTTCCCTGACCAGGACTCAAACCCAGGCCCCCTGCATCGGGAGCACAGAGTCTTAACCCCTGGACCACCAGGGAAGTCCCCAGACTGGCATTCTTGATTAGAACATTTGAAAGACCCAGATTATAGCTTAATCTAAGTAACACAAACATAATATGCCCAAGTGTATGATAGTAAATTGAAAACTTTACAATACTTCCTCAGAGGCTTGTTTCCAGAATTTAAAAAAAAAATGATGCATGTGTGTGGTGTTTAATACAAGGGCTGCTCATAGTAAGGCCTCAGTAAGTAGTAGTTATTATTTATTATTTTGTTTATAAGCAATATAAAATTTATTGTATTTTATGCATGAGTATATGGCTCTTTAAATGTCTTTTTTTTTTAAGCTAATTTTTCTAAGGCCATATTCCTTACATAAAGTCCTTTAAGTGTTGAAAACTAGGTCATACACACAAAAACAGTTAAAGCAAATCCTCTCAAGGGACAAAAATTCTGTTTCCATGTGAGATGTATAACATTGATAACTGCAAATTGATAATTAAGTGACTTTATTCACATTAAAACTATTTTATAGTCACCAGATAGACAACCAAGATATGGATGGAGCACATTTTCTTCCTAGACTGTTTAATCTAAACAAGATTTACTTGGTTTTAGATTATAATGATGCCCTTTAGAGCTCATAAGAAACTGCCAAAACGATCTAAAACCACTGTAGTAGTTTTGAATTGGTCTGTGGTCAGTGGCTTTTGCATAACTGGAGCTAAATGGCACTGCCCTCTCAATCAGAAAGCCAGTCTGAAATATTTACTGCACACTGTTAATGGTGAGGAGCAAAAACGGTAAGGAAGGACGTGGTAGGAGAAATATAAAATAAATACTAAATGCTTACTCCAGGGGAGTGCTGCTGTGCTGATCAAGCCCATCATATCTCAACCTGACCCTTGAATTTATAAATAAATTGTGATCTTCTTTCTTACTTTCATCTTAAAATAATTTTGCTTCTTTACTTTCTCCATTTTTAAGTGTTAAGAATCACTATTTATACCTCTTCTCAGACTGAAGCCCAATGACAGTATACAAAGAAACCAGCGTCAGTCACTTGAGCAGCTCCTCTGGGGGTGATGGATGGGGGTTTCATTAATTTGGGCATCCCAAACAATTTGGGCGTGCCCATCCTCTGAAACCAGTTGCCCTGAGAAATGGGTATCTACGGTGCCCTCAATGTCTTTTCCCCTGAATGCATTTATATTGTCCTGGGATATAAAATTAAGCATGTATTATGGTTGCAGTTGTTGGCCACCTGCAGCCCTGGGGTAATTTGCCTTCTCCCTTCCCACTTTCACTTCAGATCCTTGGAAAATTCTGAAGCCAGAGATCCAGGCTAAAAATTTCAGCATGTCTCTCTGGAGCTCTGCAGATAATATCTCCTTTTTTCTAAGGGCTAGTCTCATTCACTGGTAGTTTATATAAAACCACATTTTAATTGCTTGACAGTGTTGTATGATAATCCAAAAAAGACATTCCTCTTATTCATGGGAACAGTAGGGAAAATTATGAAACCATAATAGTTCATTGGTTCGTTTCATGAAGTATATCAGATGTATACCATGTGCCTCAAATTATGTTAGGCAGAGGTCCCTCCTGCCGTCTGAGGGAAACAGATTTGAAACAATTATAGCACCAGGCAGGGAGATCTCATTCTCTTTCCCAGTCTTTCATAAGTTCCATCTCCTAATGTATATGTGGTAAGATGGTCACCGGCCTACTGAGGCTTTGATTTCTGAGTGCTAAAGTCCTTAAAGAGGGGGGAGGGTAGAGATCTTTTTCCTGCTTAAAGGACAACTGACATCTTGTTTTCTGTTTTGAAATGAAAAAATACTAAACAGCTAAATGAAAATAGCTAAATAAAATCATGTTTAGTTAGAATCCAAGGTCCCAGAGAGTTTTAAATGTTTGGTTCCTTCAAATTAAGTATAGCTCCTTACCTTATGTAACTATTAACAACTGGAAATGCAATAACACAGAAACATGAAGAAGTAACTGCCTCCAGAAATTTCTAATCCAAGGAGGACATATAATAATTTTAATTCATCTGTATAACAAGAATAACCTACAACAGCTGTTATTAAGCCATTGTTTACTGCCTTGGGACGGTGTCCCCCAGGATGGTAGTAACTGTTATGGGGAAGAGCGACTGTACATAGAAAATTTGAGAAGTATGGAATTAAAGTGAACATGTGTTTTTTTTCTAATTGCAAAAGTTCTCAGAACCTTTAATATACTAACGTGTATTCTGAATTCCTAAGAGGAGGATATACTACTATGCAACATTTTTTCAACTTATTTGATCACATAGCTTTTTTCTGCCCTATTAAGATGCTGCAAAAATAGCAAGAGTAAAAAAGACATCCAAATGGAGATCCCTATGGAGGCTCCCTGTGGCTGCCTGGCCCTTGGACCATGTTTGAGTTTTTCTGGTTTTCCAAAGGTGGAAGCATGTTTCTACCCATGTTTTCAGTATTGAGAATGAGAAAGTTTTTTCACATGTTGAATTCTTTTTAATCACTGGTAGTTTTCTTAGCTCCTGTGCATAGATGATTCTTGTAGGTACAAGGAGAAGATGGTTTGTAATACCCGTGCCCAAAAAAGAATAGGATAAAGTTCTGCCTGGTGTCACAAGCTACTCCAGAATTACAGTAATAAACAGGAAAGCACCTTGGGGCAAGCTGTCATTTTACAACTGAGGACGCCAGTTATAGACAGCACTAAGGTTCCTGTTGTGTGTGGGAAAATAAGACTTTTTGAACACCTGTCACCTGCCATGTATTTGCAGAAAAATAAACATAAGCAATTCACCTTGCTTCTTCCTTAAACTATGAGGATACACTTTACCTTTTAGAGTCTTTCCACCTTTTTCAAAGAGTCAGTATGAATATCTGCAGGCTTTTGTTATCTGAAACTCAGGGTTTGCCACTGCTACCCATACTCTGAAGCTCAGTTTAGGTAAACTTCAACCCAGGGCTGGTGCCCCTCTAAGAGCCACCGGTGACAGTGAGCTCAAAAGGTAGGGTTGTGAAAACATTCTTGCTGAAGTGATATCTAGAGAATTGAGTACCAGCTTAAGTTTATGTGTTTGCACTTCTATGATTCCAATTTAATTTATCCATAATATAGATGGATTTCTGAACCTTTTCTAAAAACGTTAATTGTCTTACATGAAGATTTGGGTTTATTTGATTTTTTTTCCTTTTATATTGTAGAGAGAGTTGTGATTCAAATCGCCAACTTATAGATTAAGGTACACTTATCACAACACTGAATTCTTTTTTTTTTTTTTTTTTACATCTTTGTTGGATTATAATTGCTTTACAATGTTGTGTTAGTTTCTACTGTACAACAAAGTGAATCAGCTGTATGTATACACATATCCCCTCCCTCATGAGCCTCCCTCCACCCTCCCCACCCCACCCTTCTAGGTCATCACAAAGCACCGAGCTGATGTCCCTGTGCTATATGCAGCTATCTAATTTACACTTAGTAGTTTCTATATGTCAGTGCTACCCTCACTTCGTCCCAGCCTCCCCTTCTCCCACTGTGTCCTCAAGTCTGTTCTCTACATCTGCATCTTTATTCCTGCCCTGCCACGAGGTTCATCAGTACCATTTTTCTAGATTCCGTATATATGCGTTAATATACAGTATTTGTTTTTCTCTTTCTGACTTACTTCATTCTGTATGACAGACTCTAGGTCCATCCACTTCACTACAAACGACTCGGTTTCATTCCTTTTTATGGCTGAGTAATATTCCATTGTACAACACTGAATTCTTTTAACAGATTTGGAAGATGCTACAAAAACACCTGACTGTTCCAGTGGACCAGTGAAAGAGGAAAGAGGTGATCTTATCAAATTTTACAATACAATATATGTAGGAAGAGTGAAGTCATTTGCATTGAAATACGACTTGTCAAATCAGGACCATGTGGTATGTTTTATATTTTACTACTTTATTAATATCTGTACTCATGATTGGATTACTATGAGTTTCTTTTGCTAGATAAGTGTTTCTAAAGCTAAAACCTTACTGATACATTTTATAGGAGAAAACATACTAGTAATTAGAGTGATTAAGGCTGTGATACAACAGAGACCAGAGGAAATCATGGAAATTTTATCCACACTGTGATTATGTTGTTAGAAATTATGGATGCATATGGGCAAGGACTAGATGGGAACATGGAAAAATGAAAACAATTCTGGTGGTTTTTTCCTTTGTTTTTTTTTTTTTTTTTTTTTTGCAGTACGCGGGCCTCTCACTGTTGTGGCCTCTCCCGTTGCGGAGTACAGGCTCCGGACGCGCAGGCCCAGCGGCCATGGCTCACGGGCCCAGCCGCTCCGCGGCATGTGGGAACTTCCTGGACCAGGGCACGAACCCGTGTCCCCTGCATCGGCAGGTGGACTCTCAACCACTGCGCCACCAGGGAAGCCCTTTTCCTTTGTTTTTGATTCCTATTGTTATATCTCTGAGATAAGTGTTTTTCTCAAGATAAAAAGAAAAGGAAATAAATAGGCTTGAATCAATAATAGAAGCAACACTAAGAAATTTTTATTCAGACTCTAGATTTGACAGTACCAGCAGGCCTTTGAAAGTGTTATCAGTGTATAAGCTGAAGTTGGTCCACAGGAGACCAGACTTCAGTTATAAGAAAGAGGAACCTAGTAGAAGCTGCATCCAGGCAGTAGCCATATATGTGTCTATATATCTCTCTATATTTCTGTCTTTGTCCCTTTCAAGGAATATGGTCTATGATTATCCTCAGAAGCCATGACGACTAATTCTGTTCCCTCACTTCCACCACCCGCACCATGTGCTATACTGTGAATATCTCTATTATCAGCCAATTAAAAAACAAAACTAGGGCTTCCCTGGTGGCGCAGTGGTTGAGAGTCCACCTGCCGATGCAGGGGACACGGGTTCGTGCCCCGGTCCAGGAAGATCCCACATGCCGTGGAGTGGCTGGGCCTGTGAGCCATGGCCGCTGAGCCTGCGCGTCCGGAGCCTGTGCTCTGCAATGGGAGAGGCCACAGCAGTGAGAGGTCCACGTACTGCAAAACAAAAACAAAAACAAAACTAGTTTTCCTAGCTTCAAGTGAAGATGATGAATGAAATATTAATTAAGGAGTCATCTCCATTTATTCTTGGAATAGAAACGTTGTATAGATTATTAAAGGTGAGTCCCTTCTCACTTTATCTCTAAATCTTTTGCATTTCAGTATAAAGTCTTAACCATTTCATTAAGAGATTTGTTCCATATTGGACTCATCCTGCTGGCCCACAGAATGTTCTGCCTCTCTTTTATTCTCTGTGCTACTAATTTGGTTGTGGGTATGTGCGTGTGGAGAGAGATTCTTATTGCAAGTGTTAGGACATAGATTACTCTTTGCTCCACTTTCTGAGCATTGACATAAGGTTCCTGTGCTCCTGGCTTACTGCTTCTGGTGTCTTGCTCAGAATTCTTCAGAATTTCCTGCAAGATCTAGGAAAATAAATTTTAGTTTATCTGTTAGTAATTGAAAAACAAGGGTTAATGAACCATTTTTTGATTTTCTTCAGCCATAAATAACCTCTTACAGTATAACTGACTCCTAACTAAGAGATAGCAATAAGAATAAAAACATGGGCTTCCCTGCTGGCACAGTGGTTGAGAGTCCGCCTGCCAATGCAGGGGACACAGGTTCATGCCGTGGTCCGGGAAGATCCCACATGCCATGGAGCGGCTAGGCCCATGAGCCATGGCCACTGAGCCTGAGCATCCAGAGCCTGTGCTCCACAACAGGAGAGTCCACAACAGTGAGAGGCCCGCGTACCACAAAAAAAAAAAGAAAAAGAAAAAAAGAATAAAAACAGGGCTTCCCTGGTTGTGCAGTGGTTAAGAATCCGCCTGCCAGTGTAGGAGGCACAAGTTCGAGCCCTGGTCCAGGAAGATCCCACATGCCGCAGAGCAACTAAGCCCGCGTGCCACAACTACTGAGCCTGCGCTCTAGAGCCCACAAGCTACAACTACTGAAGCCCATGTGCCTAGAGCCCGTGCTCTGCAACAAGAGAAGCCACCGCAGTGAGAAGCCCATGCACCACAATGAAGAGTAGCCCCTGCTCGCCGCAGCTAGAGAAAAGCCCATGTGCAGCAACGAAGACCCAGTGCAGCCAAAAATAAATAAATAAATTTTTTTTTAAAAGAATAAAAACATGGCAAAGAAAAAAAAGTTCCATGTTGACCCTTCACCTGGCTTGGGGCTGGGGTGGGACAGGGTGGATAGTGCAGAATAAAAATGGTGGGATTCAAAAAAAGAAAAAAAAACCTTTTATCTTATAAAAACTTTACTTTTGTATTATTTCAGATGGAAGCTCCACCACTCTCTCCTTTTCCACATATTAAGCAACAGCCAGGCTCCCCGCGCCGCATTTCCCAGCAGCACTCCATTTATGTGTCCCCACACAAGAATGGGTCAGGCCTTACACCAAGGAGTGCTCTGCTCTATAAGTTCAATGGCAGCCCTTCTAAGGTAAGTTGCACACAAACTTTACTCCAAAACAATGATGTACACATGTTAAATACTGGATTTCAGATTTCCAATTAGTAATCTTTAATTTTACTTCTTTTTTTGCAAAGTTACTGCTAATAAATATGAACCGTTACTATGGCAAGTTTCCTGTGTTCAAGAGCAGTGTATTCAGTTGAGGTAGTTTAATCCTTTACGATTGATGTGGTATCGGGGGAGTTCACTCCAAGAGCCCAGTGTGTCCCTGCTCAAGCACGATCTTGAGAAGGACCAGTAAGGCAACACCTGCAAGTGGTCAGACATGGGGAACACTATGTGTAAAGGAAGGCCTTAGAAGTGAAAGTTCATTTGGTGGATGGCAACCAGGATAGTGAAAGGTCTGAAAACAGAGGCCTCTTCTTACTTACACAGACAGCTCTATGGTTACCTCCATCTTTATTCCCATACAGTGATGAAGATGTGATAGGGACATGATTGCTGTTTTCAGATAATTCAAGGGCTATCAAGTAGATACACTCAGTATGTCTCCAGAAGCCAGAATCACTACTAACTGGAAGAAACTGTAGTGGGACAGATTGTAACTCAGTCCAAATACATGGCAGCTCCTTAACTCATTAGTTTCTGATTTAGTTCCACAGACATCTATTAAGTTCCTGCTATGCTTAGCAAACAAAGTTGACTGAGATATACTGCACAGGCTTGCATTTCTTCTTTATAGAAGTTGATTTCATATGAGGACTTTTAGAAGAAATTCTTGCATAAAATCAGAAATGGGATCAATTGAATTGTAAGGCAGTGATTTCACAGTCATAGGTCAGAATCTGGGGAGTTTGTTGAACACAGATACCTGTCCCATAGACTTCCTGTATCACAGAGCTCTGGCAGGCAGGTCTCCTAGACTGTTGTGATGCACAGCTTTCAGGAGCAACTTCTCTAAGGCTGCCTTACAGACCAGCGACATCAGCATCACCTGGGAGCCTGTTAGAAACGCAGACTCTCAGGCCTCACACCAGCCCAACTGAATTTGAATCTGCATAGTAACAAGATTCCCCAGATGATTAGTAAGCACATTAAAGTTTGAAAAGCATTGCTACAGGAGGAGGATCTCAAACTTTAGGGTTTATCAGAATCACCTGGAAGGCTTGATTAAAATATAGATTGCTGGGCCCAACCCCCAGAATGTCTGATTCAGTAGGTGTAGGGCGAGGCTTGAGAATTTGCATTCCTGATAAGTTTCCAAATGCTTCTGCTGCTTCTGGTCTTATGTCCACATTTTGAAAACTACTGCTATAAGGTAAATCCAATTTTAAAAATCACCTGAAAAGATTAGTTCTAATCACCCTTATTAGGTTGGCCTAGATTGAAAAAATAATCTCTACCGCAGTGTTTAGCTTTGGATAGAGGATAAAGGGCAGGAAAAAGCAGTTAGATTAGCTCTCGGCTGCTGTTTCTCCCTTTTCCCCTTTTACTCACACATGTCCTCTATTTTTGCACAGAGTTTGAAAGATATCAACAACATGATAAGGCAAGGTGAGCAGAGAACCAAGAAGCGAGCAATAGCCATCAATGGTGATGCAGAATCACCTGCCAAACGCCTCTGTCAAGAAAATGATGACGTTTTACTTAAACGACTACAGGATGTTGTCAGTGAAAGAGCAAATCATTAGTGCCCTTCCCATTTCTATGATAAAAGCACTTTCAGGTTGTTTTGCAGAAAGTTGGGGCTCTAGCTTTCAAAACATTCAGCCCTGTAGGTAGTAAATATCACTGAGTTACAAAAAAAGTTACACCAAAGTTGGGTTTTTTTTACATTTATCCAAAATGTAGTTGACAGATGTATTTTGAGTTGGATTGTAAAGGAATGTTTTAAGTGCCTTTTAAACATATTAATAGTCATAGAATTGTTAAAATATTTGTTCCCTGGGTTTTTCAGGTGAAGTAAGGAGAAACCTCATCATTTTTTAGCTCACTTTTTAAAATAATGTCTTATTCTTCTGGGCTTTGTAATATGAGGGTGAATAATCTGTTTTTGCTGAGTGTCGTTTGAGAGGTTTGTGTTCCTAATTTAGTATTGAGTAGGGGTTGGGTTCCATGGCATCTGGGCCAGAGGATGATGCCCAGCCTGTCTCTGACCCAGTGTGTTAGCTCCACATCCAGGTGCCAAGACCATTCTGGGTTGTCCAGACACTTCTTGTGCCCTTCCTCTCCTTGAGCAGAAGCAGATTTGTACCTGAACCCCTGCACTACCCCCACTCCTTGCTTTACAGCCCTAAGCCCTCTTAGCCTGGTGTCACAACCTGATAAAAGATACTTGCTCCTTTTTAAAACTACTATCATTTTGTTTTCCAAACCATTAACTTAGTTATGTATGATTATATTATGTCATATAATTCTCAAAATAGGAAGCTGCTTCTCAAGCCAGTAGAGTAAAGTACGGAAAAGAGTTGTTAGAAACCATATTCCTACTAATGAGGTAGTGCCATGATAATACGTGAGATACTGTTTTTGAGGTTATCATGAGATTGGTCATTCTCAATGTCTAATTGATTCCCTAAGAATAGTTGAAACCTTTTTCAAAACCACATTAATGTCACCTCATGCCATATTACTTCCCCCTCTTGTTCTCAGTATCATCGGTGCATTATGAGTTTCCCATTAGGTTTGATCACTGGGCCCCTTAAGGGTGTTTTCCGGAGCTTGGGGTGCAACTTTCCAAAGAGTCAGCTGTTCGGTATTCACTTTTTCTGGTAAGTTTCCAGAATCTGGAAGGACATGGATAAGCCATTCTTAATTAATTTTGAGAAAATCTTATCAAATGTATGTTTTTTAGACCACAGACCTTATTTTTTTAAATGCAAAATATTTAACTTAACCGGGACTTCCCTGGTGGCGCAGTGGTTGAGAGTCCGCCTGCCGATGCAGGGGACGGGTTCGTGCCCCAGTCCGGGAAGATCCCACATGCCACGGAGCGGCTGGGCCCGTGAGCCGTGGCCGCTGAGCCTGCGCGTCTGGAGCCTGTGCTCCGCAACAGGAGAGGCCACAACAGTGAGAGGCCCGCATATCGCAAA